GCTGCCTTCAATTAGCTTGTGAGTGTGAGGCTTTTAGACCTATGGTGTTAAACACTACTCAGATCTGGAGAAGTTCAGTTTTTTTTTTTACAGAAAACCAAAAACCAGGGCAAAGAGAGCAATTCAGGAGTCTGTTCCAGAGAAGGAAGGTAGCAGAGAGCCTTATAAGGCTGAAGTGTGCACACCTGCACATGTGGGCCTATGTGTATATGCACAGGTGAAGGCAGCCCTGTCTGTGAATTCAGGAAAGGTTGGTGCCTCTCACAGCCCCTGTCTAGGCCTTTCAGACCATGTAAAGTGGGGCACATGGCACCTCATCAATTCACCAGAAGTCTTTTAACTGAGGTGAGATTGGCTGGGTAAGACCCTTGGAAGTTAAGGGCTAAGGAAGTGAAGGACTGCTTGGTCACCTGGCGCTCCGAGAGGCGCCTCCAGGCAGCGGGACTCCTTTGTGGGGGGCAGCTGCTGATCATAGGGGCTCTTGGCTCTGTTCTTGGTGGAGATGGCTAATACCTCTAATCACAGGCCCCAGGTAGCAAGGAAGAAAACAAAGCACGCCTTCTCCTGTCTGGGGATCCATACACCTCTTTTCTCAGACTGGGGGAGCACTTCAGTTGGGCAGTTCTTGTACCTGTAGTTCCTCATAGAGAAAAGCACTTTCCCTGGAGGAGCAGGGATACTGTCTCCTGGCTCCTAAGCTGTAGGCCGAGTGAGAGTGGTGGGCACTGGGGACCTAGGTGCAGCATACAGTATTCTTTTGGTTGGGTGATGTGGCCTCAGGGTACCCATGTTAATAAACACGTCCTAGAGGGCCCTGGTGCCACAAAGCAGGAGACATCTGGCTCAGAAATGGTATAGAAACTTGTTTCCTGAGGTGTGAATAGCTGACTGTAGAGGGCTGTGGATGGTGGGTTTAGGGGCTTGGAGCCTGAGTCTCTGCTGAACAGGTGGGATGGGGGGGGGGCGGGGAGGATTTTTAGGTGGGAGAGTGGTAGAGGTGTCCTGGCAAACTGCAGAGCAGTGCTGTATCCCCAGTGATGGGTCCTGTGTTCAGTGTGAACTAGGTCTGAGAAAAGAATGGATGAGGTGGAGGCCAGGGGACAGTGACACAGGGGGCCAGGGACCGGGTGATGTGTGGATCAACTAGGACCAAAACCAGGCTGGGAGTGTGGGCCTCTGCCTTATAGGCAATTCTTGGACTCTCCAGAGATGAAGGGGAGGGTGGACTGCTGGACCCTTAGGATCATCTTCTAGTACCAGAGGGGTGGAGGCCGCTCCCAGCTATTTTGAGAGGCAGCTGGTATCTTGGGTAGCAACTCCCTCCTTTCTCTCACTCACACACACGCACACACACACACACACACACACACACACCTCAATTTGAGGTTGGTCTTGGGCCCCTTGTGTGTAAAACAGGGAGACTGCCCTCTGTGGGTTCTTAATGAAGTTCTAGGATTCTTTATCTTCCTCTCTACCCCATTCCAAGTAATCTTGTTCCTGAGATCAGAGAATTGGTAGAAGATCGTGGGAATCCTAGTTATAAACCCTGCTGAAATGAGATTGGGTAGTTAGTGAGGAATCAGAATCTAAAGTGACTGGCAAGAGGAGAACCTGGTTCAGACCTGAGCCACACTGTTGCATGTCACCTGTTGGGGGGCACTGTTCTGACAGTAGGCCTTGTCACAGGCATACTGCCTTATCCTGAGAGCACCCTTCCCCCACAGCCTCTATTCCTTGTCAGATTTTATTTTTATTTCTATGTGGAAGACATTGAATATAAAGCAAGTACCACTTCTTCAGGTGGTGTACACATTATTCTAGAACTGTGATTCTCTGACATGAGTGTACATTGGAATCACTTGAATTAGGGGTACTTGGCTGGCTCAGTGGAGCGTGCAACTCTTAGTCTTGGGGTTGTGAGGTTGGGCCCAGTGTGTTGGGTATAGAGATTCCTTAAAAATAGAAAAATCTTAAACAACTGCCCCCCCCAAAAAAAAATACCTAAAGCAAACCAAAAAAACCTGGTACCTTGGTCTCACTCTGAGAGATTCTGATTTAATTGATTAGGGTGCCACCTTGGCCTTGGGATTTTAAATGCTTCTCAAGTGATGCTAATATGCCACTAAGTTGGAGAACTGCTGACAGAGGTTTAAAAAATCTCTTTCCCCCAAAGGAAGAGATTTTTATCTTTTATTAGCAGATAAGAAAAAAACTATTGGAACTAATAAATGAGGTCAGTAAGGTTGTAGGATACAGGATCAATGTGCAAAACTGTTCCCTGTCTTACAACCGAAAGACTTGGTGTGTATCCTTCCCAGTTTTTCAATAGGATTATGCGGATATAGACATTCCGCATATGGTGGTCTACAGCTTTTATTTTCAGTGTCATGGCATCTGTACATGACATCTGTACATGGCATCTGTACATCCACATCTGTACATGAGATCAGTTTCCTTCCTGATCACTGGTATGTCCATGGATCCTGCAATATATTTAACAGTGATTCCCCAGAATTTTGTTTCAAATGATGCCCCAGTAAGCCTTTATATAGACCTTTGCCTTTGCAGAGTTACTCTCATTTATTCTTTTTTTTTTTTTTTTTTTAAAGAGAAGATTGCAGGTATGGGGTTTTAAGGTCATAGCTTATAGCGTTTTAAGAGCAATATGAACTTCCCCTTTCCTTGGCCCATATGATGCCTCATTTCCTCAGACACGTAGATGTGTTCCAGACTTAATGTGGAGTAGAACCCGAGTTCCAGTCCTAGGCTGTATGACCTTGAGCTTTCTTTCTTTTTTTTAAAGTTTTTATTTATTTATTTAAGTAATCTCTACACCCAACGTGGGGCTCGAACTCACAATCCCAAGATCAAGAGTCGCTCGTGCCACTGACTGAGCCAACCAGGTGCCCTGACCTTGAGCTTTTTAATTTTTTTAAAATATTAAGCATGCTCCACACCCAGCATGGAGCACACCTTGGGGCTTGAGCTCAGGATCCTGAGATCGAGACCTGAGCTGAGATTGAATGGAACAGTTAATCGACTGAGTCACCCAGGTGACCTTGAGCTATTTTAACCTTGCTGTTGGCAATACATTCCAGACCACGTGGTTGAGGATTTAGTGATACAAAGGGAGAGCATCTAGTGAGGTTCTTTGAATCTGAAGTTGTAAGGAGCGTCGTCGTCGTCATCATCATCATCATCGAAGTTTCTGCCTAGAGGGATTGATAGGATCTTCTGAGCCTGGCCACTGCTTAGCTGTGCTTTATATTTTCCAATCTCACGGATTCACTTTCAAAGATTAGCAAGAAGGTTTATGGCTTTCTCTACGCCCTCACATTGGAGCAGAATATGTTTTCCAGTGTTCCTTTACTAACTGTAATGTGTTTGTGAATCTCCTGGGGGTCTTGTTAAAATGCAGCTTGTGATTTAGTAGATCTGGGCTGGGGCTGTATTTCGAGCAGATTCCCAGGTGATGCTTAGTGCTTCTGGTCCATAGACTGCTCCTTGAGAAGCAGAGTCCTAGAGCAGTGATTCCCAGTGGAGGCACAAATCCAAAGTAAGCACAATAAAGCACAAACCCAAATTAAGGTATAATTCACCTTATCAGTGGAGGATTTTTGGTTTTAGGAAGATGTGATTTTTTCAGACAATAAAATTCACTGGCATGGGAGGTACTGAATTATAAGCATTCTAAAATAAGTCTGTCACGTACCTCTAAAGAGAGCTAACCCAGCTTTGCATAGCACTTAATACGTATCTTGTACCAACCATCCTTTATGAGCTGTGTCCCCATCTTATGATGAAGAAAACTGAGATTCTTCTCTCCTTTACATGTCAACTACCATCTTCTGGCCCTTTATCATTTCTCCTGGCCTGAATCCAATTGACTGAGGTATCCACGTCTGTGTCTCTCGATATGCTGTTCATCCTACTCCCAGGATCAACTAGTAACAAGTTTGGTGTGTGTGCTGTGCAGACCTCTGATGGTTCCCTGTTGCCTACTGGATAAAGTTCAGACTCCACGATGAGGCCCCAGAACCCTCACTGAGTCCACTAAACCGCTTGCTTCTTCAGGCATGACTTGTATCATCTTGCCACTGTATATTTTGCTGGTCTCTCACCCTGGAGCATCCCCCTCATCCTTTTGAAATCTTACTCCTTGGGACGCCTAGGTGGCTCAATGGTTGAGCATCTGTCTTTGCCTCAGGGCATGATCCCGGGGTTTGGGATCGAGTGCCGCATTGGGCTCCCTGTGAGGAGCCTGCTTCTCCCTCTGCCTATGTGTTGTCTCCCTGTCTCTCAGATTAAATAAATAAAATAAAATAAAGAAATCTTACTCCTCCTTTGTTCTATCACTCTCTTGCTGCATTACTGTTTCATTGACTCATGATTTTGTGGGTAATGTGAGGGACATATATACATATGGTTTCACGGGTACTTAAAAATACTCCAATGTCGGGGCACCTGGGTAGTTCAGTCCGTTAAGCGTCTGACTTGATTTTGGCTCAGGTCATGATCTCATGGTTGTGAGATTGAGCTCCACTTTGGGCTCTGTACTCAGCAGGGAGTCTGGTTGAGATTCTCTCTCCCTCTCCTCTCCCCTGCAAGCTTACTCACTTTCTCTTTCAAAAAAAAAAATACTCCAAAGTCACCTAAATAGATAACTGTTCTGGGAGTTTAGAGAACTAAAACACCAAACACATGATCCCCTTGGGGGAACATGGAATTTGGCATTGAGAAGTGATGAAGGAAGGGATTTGGGTCTAAGAGAAGGCTCATCTTGTTTCAAGGAAGTATGCATGGACAAGGGAGCAGAAATGGGTGTATCTCCCTGCCCACTCACCTCTAATGGATCACGCTGTGGATATGAGCAGGGGGGAGGGCTGCGCCTTACAGGGAAAGGGGAGGGAGAACAGCTGCTTATCTTCTTGTGCAGTGATATCGGGATCCCCATACTTGGCTCTCATAGCATCTCTCTCTCTCTCTCCCCTCCTCTCCAGGTATAATTTCTTCAGGCATCCAGGATGGCCATCCAGTTCCGTTCACTTTTCCCCTTGGCATTGCCTGGAATGCTGGCAGTCCTTGGCTGGTGGTGGTTTTTTTCTCGTAAAAAGCATGTTAGCAGTCAGGACAGACAGGTGGAGGCCAGCACTGTGGAGCTGAGGGCTAGCCATGCCATCAAAGAGCCACTCTCCATGGAGGATCCCTGTCCTGCAGTAGTAGCAACGTCCCCCAGCATCATACTGTCTGCAGAAGAGGAGCCATCTACTGTGAGCAAGCTTCCCATGGAGCCCCCAGCCATGCTGCGGCCACATTTAACCTGTCGCAGGTCAGAGTCCTCAGGCAGCCTTCCTAACACCACAGACCCAAGATTTCGACCAGGAACACTCAGGGATGACAGCGCAAAGGTGGAACTAGCCCTGACGGGTGATGAAGCCAGGTCCATCCCTCTGGAGTGTCCCCTTCCAACCCCAAAGGGTGTTCCTTTCCCCCATGAAGCGGCTGAGGTGTGCAAGCGAGAGTCCCCATTCAATGGGACAGGAGGACTGAGCTGGCAGGGCCAAGCTGCAGCCCTCCAAGAGAAGCCAAGAGAAACAAATGGAGCTGAAGGCACTGGTGATGCAGTGTTAGGAGAAAACGTGCTGGAAGAGGGTGTGTTGTTCCAGGAGCATGACTCTGAATCGGAGATCAGCAAGGCGCCTAGCCCAGCTTCCTTGGGAGGAGCAGGGGAGAAGGGGAAGGGCAGCTGGCCACAGGTGGAGGAGGATGCAGCGGGGAAGCTGCTGAGCAACCTCATCGAATCGGCTCACACAGAGCTGATGGAGGATGATGAGCTGCTGGCACCTCGGGTCAGCAGCAGAGCCTGTGATGCAGACAGCATGGGAGAGCTGGGCAAAGAGGAGGCTGTGGAGCAAGATGAGAAGATTGAGCAGGCTGCTTACCAGATCATCTCTAGAGTGATCTTGGAGGCAACTGAAGAGGTGCTGGCCACCACCATGGGCAGGATTGCAGGTCGGGTGCATCAGGCTTCAGCTGGTCAATTGCAAGGGCAGAAGGAGGAGAGCTGTGTGCCAGTCTGCCAGAAAACTTCCCTGGGGCAAGATGCTGCTGAGCCCACTCCAGCCACTGTGGAGGTAGTGGAGGTGGTGAAGGTGGCGGAGACAGTGACGGAGGCAGTGGCAGAGGTGGTGGCGATCTCTGGCCAGTCAGACCCTGCCCTCCCCTTGCCAGACCTGCCCACAGAGGACCTGCCATCACCAAAGACCTACATGAGCTGCCTGAGCAGCCCTCTGTCCAGCCCCACTAAGGATAGAAAGCCAAAGAACTCTGCACACCACATCTCCCTGGCCCCCAGCCCGTCGCCAGCTCTGCCTCAGGGAGAGTCTCCAGATGAAGCAAGTGTCCTGGTGAGAAGTGCTGGATGCATCACCTGTACTAATGACAACAGCCAGGATGTCCCTTCAGTGGCCTCTGAGCAGTGCTCAGATTCCGTCAGCACTTCGGGGCTTGAAGACTTGTGTACAGACACCAACTCAAGCCCCAGGGGCCAGACCATTTCCCCACCGCTGCCAGAAAGTACTGTGCCCTTCAGCAATGGGGTACTGAAGGGGGAGCTATCAGACTTGGGGAATGAGGATGGATGGACCGTGGAAGCAGAAGCAGATCATTCGGGAGGTAGGAGGGTCTTGGATGTTCCTCACTTAGAGGACGGGGTGGGGGTGCTCCCTTTGTATGCTGGGCAAAGGCTGCTGGTCTGCCCCTCCCTCTGCTCCTTCTGCAGTAGTAATGCTCTTCAACTCCGTGTCCCAGCTGGCCTGCAGAAAGTCGGGGTACAGCGTAACACTGGTGGGTAACTGAGAAGTTAGGCTGTCCTGAACCCGCAGAGCCATGGGAGCTGTAAATTGGTTCGGCAGCCAGGACCCTCCCCAGTCCTCCTGAAGGAGCCAGCTCAATGTTGGGTTTGTCAACTAACCTCAGTGTGAGCCTCTTTTTCTCTCTCAAACCACCTCTTGAAGGTTTTTGTAATGGAGAGGCTTCCTTAGCTTTAATTCCCATGTACCAAGAATGGGTGTGAACTTTTTTTTTTAATGGTTTATTTCCTTTTAATCATGTGCTTGTTCCCATGTCTTCACCTGCCTTCCTTCTCCAGAAGCTCTTACCGGGTAAGTGCCCAGAGAGCGGCCACAACCTTGACACTTGAGGGAGGCTCTCGCCCTCCTGCCTTGTTGCCGCCACTATTCCTCCGCAGAGGGCCTCCGCCATTTCCTTTCTGTGAGCTGCAGTTCCACCCCCAGGAAAGAGGGGCACTTCGGTAATGAAGTGTCCACTGGGGTTTTCGGGTGCTGACCCCAGCATAGACAGTTCAGACCGCTAATGGACAGGTCAGCAACTCCTGACCCTGGTTTCACAGCCACCCTGGGGTATTTTCCATTATCTCCTGCAGAGAGGCCATGAATTCCTTGTGGGGGTCTCTGACTTGTGTGTCCTGGAGCCATGCTCTACCATCTCCACTCCAGGAAGGCAGGGAGTCTTTATGGGGAATTTTACTTCTTTCAGTAGCATCTAGTGTGTTTCACACACCACATTTTGTCACCTCCAAGATGGCTATTGGTTTGATTAAGAAGACATCACTGATTTCTGTACCTCTAAGTGAAAGAGAACTCGTTATTGGATTGTGATCATAGAAGGCCAGAGCATATAAGATGCATCCAAATTTCAGGGATGTTAAAATGTGTGTGTGCTTTTTTTTAAAAAAGATCTTAAAGTGGGTAAACAAATATCTTCCTAAGAATAAAGGAGTTTCTCTTTATCCACTGGCCCTAAGCTGAATTAACAGACCCATTAGAGCTGTGTCATGCCACCTCTAGATTGGTTGTGGCAGCTACTCAGGTGTGGTGAAGGCCTTGAGTTGAGGCCTCGCGGAAGAGAAGGCTATGACCGTGGGGAGGTACAGGAACAAGAGATGGGAGCGTGGCATACCACTCACTTGGCCCTCAGTTGGCCAAAGCATAAGCTCCCACCTCCCTGGCATCTGATGTACCTGACCATGCACAGCCCTACCTGGTGCCTAGGGGGCCCACTGAGGAAGCTGGCCTGTGAGCACAGACTGCTAGAGTGCTGTGTGGTCTGAGCCACCTCTGGGTGTCCCTGGAGTGGTCCGTATCAGCCAGGCCTGTTCTGTCCAGGAGAGGCTGGGGCCCCTGATGTTGAGGGACAAGGTCACTCTCAAGGTGACTTGTCCTTATCTGGGGACAGAATCTCTTAAGCCTTACTGTGCATCCAGACAGTACATGCGTTGCTTGGCAAAGGATTATGTCCAGAGTTTGGAGAAACCATGTGCATAATAACCTAAGTAGTAGAATCTTGGGAGCAATCTATTTCTGGTAGTTAAGTCCTCCATATTTAAGCCAGAGGCCTTTCTCTTAAGCTGGTCTGGACCCCTGTTTTTCTGGGATAGCCTCTCTGGCACACTCTTGAGCAAGAGAGCAGCAGACCACATTGATGCCAGGGGCCTGCTTCCTGCTCTTTCTGTTGTCTGGGGCATGAACTTCAGCCCAGTCTTGGGACCAAGGGGTAAAGATCCACCATGAGCCCAGAATGTTAAGAGTTGCACAAGTCAGGCCTAAGCAGAGGGAAAGGAGGACCTCCTTCCTTCATCTACTTCCAGTAGAGCCCCAGTGCAAGATGAGAATGGGGCCCTCAGACGAGCCAGCAAGGGAGGATTCTTCTAGCTCTGCTGGACTGAAGTTCACTGCCCATGGAGCCCAGGCCTAGGTCCCTTGGTCTGAGGGGCTGGCATAGGTGCTGGGGTGGGGACCCCTTGTGACTGGTTGGTCTCTGTGGAAGCCAGCACATATACAGCTTCTGGGACCATGTGGACTTGCTGGCCTGCTCCCCCACCCCGTGGACTCCCCTTCCCAGCTCACCACTTGTCTCTGCTCCAGCAGCTGTGGCTGGGCGTGGCTGCCAATTCAGCAAGTGGAGCTGTGAGTGACAGGCTAAAATTAGGTGTATCTACACCCCCAGTCCTTCTTTCATTGGGGTTGTTCTAACCCTTCTAGACTTCGGGTTGACAGTCACCTGCCAAGCTCAAGGAGGGGGTGTGGGGTGGGGGCCTCCTGGGAATCTGAATTTGGAAGTTCTTCATTGTTGACTGCTCTTAGCTGGCCTCTGTGTGTCTGTGCATGCTGCTTCCACCCCTGCAGGCTCGGACGGGAACAGCATGGATTCAGTGGATGGCTGCTGTGGCCCCAGGAAGACTGACAGTTTCCAGAATGCCCAAGCAGCCTCTAGTCCTAAGAAGGTCGACCTCATCATCTGGGAGATTGAGGTGCCAAAGGTAAGGGCTGCAAGCTCCACACTCCTACACGCCCAGGGTCATCGAACTTAAGGGAGAGGGAGACAGTAAACCTGAAGCTGCCCCCCGAGTGAGCCAGAGGCTGAAGGGAGCAGGAGTGTCATACCCTGCCAGGGCCCACAGAGCTTCCTGCCAAGTGGAGTTCCCTCAGCTGCCTTCAGGAGGGACCTATTCTCGTCCCCTTCAAACTCACACACAGGGTACTTACGCTCTCCCTGGGGCTTCCTCCTGTGTGCTGGGGCTCAGATCTGTTTGGAGATGCTAGCAAAAACCAGCCTGAGGACGTGGGCTAAGCGGGAGTCCCTTCACGGTGCTCTGCTCAAAGCTCTCCAGTGCAAAGTATATTTGATAATTGAGCACAGCATAAATCCATATTTCAGAGAGCTTGAAAAGTATAGAAACGTTTGAGGAAAATAACAAGCTGCTCTAATCTTACCCCCGGGAGTGGCTGTGAAGACTTGTGTTTCCTTCTCGTCTTGCACCCTGTGGTTTTTAAACAAAACTGAGATTATGTTGCTTTAATTAATGCTTTTAAATATTTAACAATTTAATTTTCCTGCATTATTCTTTTGAAAATATAATTTTAACTGCATTATTCATTGTGGGAATGTCCGTTTACTTCACCAGTCCCCAAATCCAGGGTACCAAAGTGTTTTCGAGCTTCTTGCTGTTCTAACTTATAATTTATTAGCTCAATCTTGATGTTTATCGCGGGGGCTCAGAAATAATGGGCCAACTGAATTCTCCCAGGAACTTAGCTCCCTACCACCGCCATGGAGACTTGGCTTGGTTTGAACTCTAGGTCAGGCAGGCTGCTTTGACCCCAGGGTGCTGACTCCCTTGGTGGTTCCCCCCTTGCCCTGTGACCCTGATAGTCGTGCCTCCTCCTCCCTTAGTGGTTGCAAAGGGCACACCCAGACAGCTCTAGGTACAGGGCGACCATGTCCCTGGTAGCTCCGCTGGTGTGCGGTTGTGTGGGATTGTCTCAGAGCTCGCCTTACATCATGGCTAAGTTGGGCTTCTTCTGTCTGCGTTGAGCTCTTGGCACGCTGGGCACTTCTACAAGCCTCGTGCTCTGAAGGCTCCGGCCCACTATCAATTGGCAGCAGAAGCCCAAGGGTTCTTTCTTCAACTTTTATTTTCAAATGGAGCCTTTTTATCTTTGAACCCGGATAGACTTGAAGAGGTCGGAGGAGTTGTAAATCGACCCTTGTGCTGTGGTGGAACCTCACCTAGTGTAGATTTGGGAGGAGAAGATGCTGGCTTTGCAGCCTTCTGGATGTGGGCCAGGTTGTCAGGGAAGAAATGGGAACTGCTGAGTCCTGGAGCCAGCCAGACTGTGTAGTTCAGCCGCTTAGCAGTGTGATATTGGGTGAGTTACTTAGCCTCTTTGAGCTTGTTAAGCTCATCTGTAAAATGGTGATAAAGCTATCTGTTTCATAGCTAAGTGCTCGGAACAGTGCCTGGCAAATGAGTGCTGGTATGTTCACAGTTAATGATATATTTGAGCTTCACTTTGTGTAAAACAAAGGTAAGTCTTTGGGAACGTAGGGAATTGGTTTCCTATTAACACCCCAATCGTCTCTTTCTCTTTCAGCACTTAGTTGGTCGGCTAATTGGCAAGCAGGGGCGGTATGTGAGCTTTCTGAAGCAAACGTCTGGTGCCAAGATCTACATCTCCACCCTGCCTTACACCCAGAACATCCAGATCTGCCACATAGAAGGTCAGTGGCAGCTGTCCGCTTGGGTTTTGTTGTCTTCCCTGAAATGTAAGGCATTTGAATCTCAGTTATTCCCTTTTTTGGAATCTAAGTCTCTGAATAGAAACCCCTGCTCATCCCAGGTGAAGGGAACATGGTGGTGGTGATGGGGGGGGGTCTTCCTTTAGCCCTCTTCTCCAGTTCAGCTACTTGAAGGAGCCTCCTCTCCCTCCCCCAGATCTTGTGGCCAGGAGAGGCGTGGGCACTCACATGGCAGGCAGGCTGGGGTGGCCTGGATTTATGGTGCCCGCTGCCTCACACAATTCCTCACAGAGCAGAACATGATTCCCCTCCGGTTGGTGAGGGCTGGGCCTTTCCCATCAGCTAGCCTCCTATTGCATTCAAAGCATGGACACAACAGCAGTGGTATCACTTGATAGGTTGGTGATTTCAGTCCTCTTTAGATAACCTTTCTTAAGGCAAAACTTAGCTTTTTGGCTCTGTAAAGATACCTTTGAACTCTAGGAAAGCTGCGGGGTGGGGTGTGTGCATGGGTTTGGTTTTGTAGTTTGTCGTATCCACTGTGACTCTCCTGCCTCTACCCCATTTAGGCTCTCAGCATCATGTAGACAAGGCGCTGAACTTGATTGGAAAGAAGTTCAAGGAGCTGAACCTCACCAATATCTACGCTCCCCCACTGCCATCACTGGCACTGCCTTCTCTTCCAATGACTTCCTGGGTGAGCATGCACCTGGCGGACCAGACCAGACCTTTTTGTCTCCCTTTCATGCCAACCTGCCCCAGATTAGAAATCCCTGAGACCGTGGGTCAGGAAGGCCAAGAGCTTGTTGATGCCTGTGACCCCTCCCCTCTAGCCTCCTGTGGTCAGTTTGCTTCTGCTTCTAGCCTGTGTTCTCTGTGGCTGGGCTTTGAGGCTGAAGTGCTGGTACAAAACCAGACATGCCTCTGTCCCCACTTGGCAAGGACCATTCTTTTCGGGCTCAGCTGCCCTGACATCTTTTGTGTTTTCAAGGCATTTGCCTAGAAAGGAGTATAGTCTATCCAGGAGACTGGGTGTACCCAGACTGGTTTGGATCTCCTTAAAGCTGGTGATATGTCCGGAGTCACAGCCTTGGGGGCCTGGATGGGCTTGTAGTGGGTCCTTATGTTCCTTACTCCTACTCGAGATGGGTCTAATGGCTCTGGTGAAGGATTCCCTTCCCCTTCCTTCTCAAGGGAAGTATCTAGATTATAAAGGATAAGAAATTCTCCCCACCCAGCCCTGGAAGCCAGGTGGCTCTTTTGGAGGTTGTTCCTGGAGCTTGGCAGGAGGAGGAAGCTTCTATCTTAGGGCCTCTGTGTGTTGGGGCCTATTGCTCAAGATCTTACAGCATCCTGCCAGCTCTATTTGAGCCTCATCTCCCAGGTAGAATTGTAGAGTTCTGTAGACCAGAGATGATGACTATACTTCACACATGGGCTGCTGCAAGAAAATTGTCTCCTTCGCTTTTGTTTGGGATGACTGACTTCTTGGTTCTGTATTATTCCACTCCCTCCAAAGATGCTTATGCCATGGCAGGAGGGATGAGTGTCCTGTTACTTCCCTCTGGATATTTGGGAACAGTCTGACCCCACTCTGTGCTTTACTTCTGAATCCTAGCATTTTTTTTCCCCAGCAGGCTTGGACCAGACCCATTCTTTAATTTTAAATAATTGAGCAGCTGGGATGGCTTCCTTCCCTTGTACTCTCTGTGGTTTGGTAGAACTGGAGAGGAGATCCCAGGTGCCTTTCAACCAGCCACACCCCAGGGAGGGATGAAGGTCAGGAAGGTGGCACATCTTCCTGTGTCCAGAGTACCTAGATGTGGTCTGTAACTTGGCAACAGGAAAACTAGTGTCTAGGGACAAGTCTTTGATGTGGGCCTAGCCACTGAGAAAACCTACATTCCAAATCCCAGAGTGGGAATGAGTTGGTAGGAGGTCTGGCATGCAGAGAGGAGGAGATGGTGTGACGCAGACTATCGGGTTCTTGCTGGCAGGAGAACAGAGTAGAGGGGTCCTGTTGGACTTGCAGCTCCTGGAGTCAGCAAGCAGGGCCAAGGATGCTGGCTCAGGGGCCTGGGGCCCACCCACCTCTTATGCCCCAGTAACTTTTTCTCCGTGGCTCCCCATTCCCTTGCCTTCGTTGGGTGTTACAGACCCCTTGAGAGAGGGACCCTGCCCCGGGCCCCTACACTACTTCCCCAGCTAGCTCCTCCCTGCCCAGCCTTGAGTTGAGGCCTCCTCTACAGGTTACTGTTGGTATTGCAGGGTAAGCGCTGCTGAGCCACACTTTCCATGGCTGACATAGTTTTCCTTGAACTTCTGCCGTTTGGGTGCCTTGTTGCTTTGGGCTGCCATGCCCTTTACAAAGATGTGCCAGTTCAGAGACTTGCCCTGGTGCCTCAAGGCTTATCCAAACATAAGAGAAGGATTGCTGCAGTGCCTGCTGCCCCTCCCCTTTCTCTACAGCTCATGCTCCCTGATGGCATCACTGTGGAGGTGATTGTGGTCAACCAGGTCAACGCTGGGCACTTGTTCGTGCAGCAGCACACGCATCCCACTTTCCATGCACTGCGTAGCCTGGATCAGCAGATGTACCTGTGCTACTCTCAGCCAGGAATCCCCACCTTGCCCACCCCAGTGGAAAGTAAGTGCTGCCCCAGGGTCACTGGGGAGCCTTGGGTTCTCAAGGGGAGGAGTTTTGGGGGTGACCTGTTCTGCCCTTGGTCTTGATCCAGGAGGAGGCCATTCTGGGATTCTTCATGGGAACAGCATCCCTAAGTTTTTGTCATCAGTGTGGAGTTACTCTGGGCTGAGTTTCCCAACTATCCCAATGGAAAAGGTCTTCCCATTGGCTGACAAGAGTCCCATGGAGTTAGAGTAGAGTTTTGACACATGAACTCAGATCCCAGCTCTGCAATTTATCTGTTGAATGGAGTGATGCCCATTGTTTCAGGAATCAGGGTTGGATTCAATGTGTGTTATATGTAAAGTCCTTGATCCAGATGATAGTTCTTGTTGAAGCTCCCTGAGAGCAATAGACCCCTGGGGTGGGGTGACTCACCTTCCTGCAACCAAGGAGAAAGCAGGCTCTGAAGTCAGGTGGCTTGCCCAGGTGATATAAGAGCAGGACCTGGGATCTAAACTTAGCTGTGCTCCTGAGTCTTCTTTGTCACTATTTCCTTATTGCCCTTGTTGGCAAGAATCCAATGTCAGAACATCTCTTCATCCACTCCTGTCAGGGACTCCTAACCTGGAGTGCCCTGATGGGCACCAAGGCTTTTAAGGAAACCTTTGAAGCTACCTGTGGCAGAAATAGGATTTAATTGTCAGTCTTTTAATGTTGCTTTGATCCAGCAGTGAAGACCAAACTGGGATCTAAGAGGTGATTGAATCAGAGGCTCCCTTTAAGGGTCAAGGTCAGGACTCAGTGTGGTCAGCCATGTGTGCAGGTCTTCATGCTGTAGTTCCATCTGTCCTGGCCCTGTGGTCACAGGGCGGGTGACTGCTGGCACACTTGCTACCTGGTCGTGGCTGCCTGGGATACCTGTGCTCTTGGTGCCTTCCTGAAGCAAAGGCTAGAAAAGGCGAGTTTTAAGCCTGGGAGTCTTCTGACCGACTTCTGAGTCACCTCGGGCCAGAACAGGCTCTAGATAATAGGCCAATGAGATCTGCTGCACTCGGAGGTTCTTGATTCTTTCTGGGACTTTCCCTAGAGAATATAAGTCCCCATTCTCTAAGTTTGGGATTTTACTTGATTTCTTCTGATCCATCCTTGTCCATCTAAGGCTTTTGTAGGTTTCAAAGTAAATGGATCTGGAAGAGTGCTTTTTTGGTCTGGAGAGCTTTTTGGGTAGTACACATGGGAGGCCAGATTTCCCATCCAGATCCTTCCCTTAATACACTCTTGGGCTCCAGGGGAGCTTTGGAGACTCCTTGCTATTTCCTGGCCCTGTGGAGACACTGGCCCCTTGGAAGTGATGTGGGGAGGTGGGTAGTGTTGACTGGGGTGACCCTTGGTGCCCTGCCCTATGCCAGGAGTATCCACATGCTCTCTTCCTGACCTGCAGTAACGGTCATCTGCGCTGCCCCCGGTGTGGACGGTGCCTGGTGGCGAGCCCAAGTGGTGGCCTCCTATGAGGAGAGCAATGAAGTGGAGATACGCTATGTGGACTACGGTGGATATAAGAGAGTGAAAGTGGACGTGCTCCGGCAGATCCGGTGGGTCCACCCTCCTCAGACAAACACACACCCTGCGTACCTGGGTTGTGGGGTTCCTGCCTAGCTGGCTCAGTTCTGCCAACCCTGGGACACAGGTTGACTCTTTCTTCTGGTGCCTACTCTGGTTTAGCAGAGTCTGATATAAACAGACCATGTTGTTCCTCCCAGCTAGAAAGGCCTCTTGTGGCAGAGGTGCCCCAAGAGCTTCTCTCTGGGAGCTTGATGGCAGACGCTCTGAGGTCAGGTTGCTACACAGGGAGGCCTGCGTTCAGGCATGCTGGGAGTTGCGGCCTGCTGCGTAACATATATGCTTCTGCTTTGCCTCGTCTTGGGTTGTGGGAGGCTCACAGCGCTACATCACAAGGTAAATATGGGCTGAAGTGGAGTTGGCCTGTGAGTTCATAAACAGTGTTCCTCCCTTGCCTTTCTAGATCTGATTTTGTGACTCTGCCATTCCAGGGAGCAGAGGTCCTTCTGGACAGTGTGATGCCCTTGTCAGGTAACAGATGGGGCCTCTGGCATGGTGGGAACAGTGGTTGAGAGTAGGTCTCTCTCTTTGAGAGCCCTTATTTGCACTTAGAGGACATAGGCTAACACATATTGCTTGCCCCTGTCAGTTTCCGATTGAACAGATTTGGGCTAGGGCCTGAGGACGTGCATCTCTAACGAATACTTAGTGATGCCAGCAGCACCTTTCAGGGTGGACTTTATCCAGGCTGCCAGCCTTTGAGAGGTTTCTAACACAAGCAGTTTCTAAAACGTGGTCGAGACCCAGGGTCCTACCTAGCATCCATGGTGGAGGGCAGGCATGGGAGCCCACGGTACTGCTCGGCGGGGACTGCGGGGACTTTGCCGGTACTCACCTGTGTGGGATCTTACACTGACCCCATCCCCAGAGGGACTAGCATAGTGGTCCTGGGCAAGTTATTATCCTCACCTTCCCCCCAACCTTTTTTTGTTTTTTTAACCCTCTGGAAAGTGGGATAGTATCTGTCCTTCAGGAGTTACATAACCCAGGAACTGATATGTGGATGGTGGTCAAGTTGCAGCTACCGGTGACCAGGATTTTTGTATCTGTAGGTGGTAGTGCGATCATCCCACACTCTTCTCTCTGGTCCACACCGGGAAATGCACTAGATGCATTGAAGGCTGCCTGCATCCTGCCGGCCCAAGTGCTGGGCCATGGCCTCCTTCTGTTTTCTTCTTTTGCACTTGTCCTGTTCCCCTTCATTTCTCCACGGTCTATCCAAGCCCGCCGAAGCGCTCCCTCCTCTGTCAGGCATTCCCCAGACCTTGGTGAACCTGTGTCTCTGTCCTTGTGTGTACCTGCATAAGCTGATGCAGAGTGCCACCCCCATGCCCTGCCCTCTAGCAGGGGACTTGCCCACACTGCGCTCTGTGGCCACTGCCTGGACCTGAGGCCAGCCTTTACCACTGGGCCATCCCCTTTTGTCTTTGTGTCCCCATCTAGAAAGTGGGGGGAACACCTGCATTTGTCAGCTGTCACTGCCTCAGTGGAACAAGATTCAGCCCTGTCAGCACCTAAATGTGGTGGTGGCATGTTCCCCTTGAAGGCAGAGTCCCTGTCCCTTCACTCTTGTCCCACAGCAGGTAGCATGTAGTGGAGACCCTGTGGGTGTATCTGCTTGGAGCCCCATGGAGGCCTGGCCTCTGTACCTACTATATAGGTGGCTCTTGCAGGTGAAGCGGCATCTGAGACATCCGCTCGGAAAACCCCTGGAAGCTGTGTGAGTGACAGGAATACTTTGCCTCAGTGAAAGCCTAAATGCTGCTTTTCTTTTTCCTTTTAAAGATGATGACCACTTTTCACCTGAAGCGGATGCAGCCATGAGCGAGATGACAGGAAACACAGCGCTGCTGGCTCAGGTGTGTGGGTGGGAGGCAGGCAGGCTGGACAGGAGAGGGTCTGTCTAAGGAGCCTCCTGCCTGGCTTGTGCAGTGCCTCCCGGCCTCTCTTATCCAAGATCTTGGATTCTTGGGAACTGACCTTTGAATTGCTTTATCCTCTGTGGCTTGGGACCGGGGTTGGCCAGCAGTCTTTAAGGAGTGGTGCACGGGGTAGCTTTTAAACGTGCTTGCTTTCTTCTGTTGTTTTTCTAGGTGACAAGTTATAGTCCTACTGGCCTTCCTCTAATTCAGCTATGGAGTGTGGTTGGAAATGAAGTAAGTTCTGTTCTTTTCCTTCAAGTGACTGGCCAGCAGCCATAGATTTGAAGCTGACTCGTCCATTATTTCCTCTTGAGCTAATCAGAGGATGTAACTATAGACCACTGCCCCCTTCCCTGCAGGGGATATTTAATTAAGTCTGGAGACATGTTTTTGGTTGCCCCAGTTGAGGGTGGTGATGGTAAGCGGCATCACTTAGGTAGAGGCTGGGGAACGCTGCTACACATCCCGCAGTGCCCCGCAACGAAATGTCAGTGGTCCTCCTGGACCTTAGCTAAACCTTTCGGGACCTTGTGTCTCCTGGGTTTTCCACCCCATTTCATGGTGTTAAAGCTTAGATTTCTTTAGTGTGCTGAAAAGTCTGCCCTCATGCCGATGGAACATTAAATCAATGCCCCTGTTGGCCTAGAAGAGTCCTGTCCCTCACCCCCTATTTCTCTTGGACCTATAGTGTGTGATGGTTATCTGAGACTGAGAGAGGGGAAAACCCACGTTGGCTTGACAACTGGCCCAGAGGTGCAGTGGGCAAAGCTCTCAAGGGAATTTTGTTTTCTAGGCGGTGTTGATAAACCGGTCGCTGGTGGAGCGAGGACTTGCTCAGTGGGTAGACAGCTACTACGCGAGCCTCTGACCCCCGTCCCCCACAGCCGCTTCTGGAGTCTTTTTGCACTGTTGAAATTGGGCTTGGCGCTGAGGCAAAGACGTTACATCAGAATAACAAGCGTTATCTTCCCCAGAAAGTCCTCTTTTTTTTCTTTTTTTTTCCTGCTGTAGTCATGTTGAGAAGTCTCCTCTCTGAGACAAGGAGGGAACCATGGGTTCTTTCAAAGCCATAGGACGGTGTTTAACAAGCCAGTCGATTTAGCCTGGTTCCAAGCCTTTAAAAAAAAAAAAAAAGTGAAAGTAAAACTGTCTCAACCAGGTTGTCCTTTACCACCCCTTCACCCCCATTCCCTTCTTTCTTCCCACCTCCTCCCCTCACTCAGAACCAAACCAACTGTAGCAGACAGGCCAAGAGATGTGTTGCCTGAGAGGGTTTCTTTTACTTTAAAATCTTTCTTCAGGGAGCAAGACATGAAATCACTAATTGGTATTGATTACTTGTACAGCTTACGTAAATGAATTTATGATGTTTAACCAGTTTTTATAAACTTCATCTAGGTCTCTAGAAGGCAGACTTTTTAATGCATCTGTAAATAATGAAGCAGTCATACCTCCGGCCTTGGTCTGTGGGGGAGGGGAACTGTTATCTTGCTAAGCCTGGTTGTAATTTGTAACCATTTTCTATTTGTGCAAACTCTGTAAATATATGTTTAAAAAATGTAATATTTTGTATAAGATACACTGGAGAACAAAGGGAACTCAAGATTTTTCCACACCCCACATCTTCTGTAAGCAGATGTTACTTCTGCAGAGCACAGCTGCCCCTGCCAGCTCCTCCTGTGGCTTTCTGAATACTGGACAGGGTGACTATAAGGTATAGATTGTGAGCGGGGATTTTTTTTTTTTCCTGTACAAATTTGTTAAAAAAAAAAATCAACTTATTTGAATTACCTTACAGTGGTGTGTTTGATTCTTTTTTTAAGACTGGCTTCAGCTTTGTGCCACATAAGAAAGTAACTTAAACTTCTATAAATCTTGAACTGTATACACTGTAGCTTTGAGTCCATTTCTTCCAGGGTGAGAGGGTTGGAATGGGGAGTGAGGAGGTGGTTGAGTGTGGTGGGCTGGAGGAGCCCATGGAAAGGAGCCCTGAGGGGGCCAGAGGGATCCATGTAAAGGATCCCTGGGGCTCTTGGAAGATCAGCCAGACATTTCCACCCAGCTTTTTCTTCTCCTTGCCCCACAAGGTGGCAGCCAAGCTTCCTCTGGCTTCCCCTCGTGAGTGTCTCAGATAGCCAGGCCTGAATTTAAATGAGCACTGGTTTCTACATTTCTTTTCTACATTCTCAATAGAACTTTGAATTAATGTCATCTATTGCAGTAGTAGGAAGAGTATACACCTACATGAGGAGCAGAATGAAATTTTTTTTTTAAGATCTATTTATTTTAGAGCATGTGTGCCTAGGAGGGAGGGGCAGAGGAAGAGGGAGAGAGAAAATCTTAAGCAAACTCCCTGCTGAGCACGGAGCCCGTGGGGCTCGATCTCACCACCCTGAGATTATGACCTGAGCGGAAATCAAGAGGCTGACACTTGACCCACTGAGCCACCCAGGTGCTCCAGAATGAAGTTTTGATTTAATGGCCGCTCCTCTTAAGGGCAAAGGTAGGCTCTGGCCCTTGGACCTCTATGTCTCAGAGCTTTCCCACCCTCCAGGGTTTCTGGAGAGTGGAGGCTGCCCAAGGGTCCTTCACACTGAAGGAATCCTCCCACAGATCTGCAGCCACTCCCCCTGGCTGTGGGTAACAAGTGGTTAAGAGCTTGGGACTAGCTCATGGGACTAACCTCAAGGCAATGAAGTAAAATCACGGGAGTGTCCCCTGCTTGTATGGAGCTTGGCCTAAGGTGAGCTCTCATGTATTTGTAGTTGCAGGTCATCTTTAATCCCAGCATTATTTGGGTATGATGTGGGCCAGCTCGGGTTACAACCAGTCTCAGCTTTTTCTGTATAATTCTGCATCACTGGAGCAGACTGGGTATGTAGGAGCCTGTAAGCTAGTTTGGTGGCTGGTGGGGGACAGGGTGGTGGACAAGCAGAGACCAAGCCAAGTTGATCCAGACAAGACAAGGGCTTCCAATGAGATAGTCCCTAGGATGACAAGTGATGGGTCAGGATCCTTTGGACAAGCCTCCCAGGACTGGGAGATGGGGCAATGGGGATGAGGAGGTGGACTACTCACGGCTTATAGTCTTAGCCTTCAGGGATGGGTCCATTTAAGGAGGTTTTGGCATATGGGAGGAAAGGTTGAGTTTGGAGGTTCGTGAAGGGCATGCACTCTTTGAATTCACCCTTCTCAGATTACAGAGTTTGGAAAAAGTTGATTTTGACCATTTTGCTAATAATCTTGTTGCTCTTACAGAGGAGTGGATTTATAGAGGTCCTCCCTCCCCTGTTCTGGATGCTGGCCCTTTGAGCCAGTATATTTTAGATATGTCCTCTGAGTTAACATCCGGGGGACAGCTTAAGTATGACTTTGAAAACTCCTGGTGCTAGAGGGAGACTTGGTGACCTGCCCTGGGGTATGGGGGAGACAGGTGGCATGCTGGGTGCAGGAGGCTAGAGCTTCCAACTTGTTCTCCCTGTGGGTGTTTTTTCTGCTTTTCTTTCTTTCTTTCTTTCTTTCTTTCTTTCTTTCTTTCTTTCTTTCTTTCTTTCCTTCCTTCCTTCCTTCCTTCCTTCCTTCCTTCCTTCCTTCCTTCCTTCCTTCCTTCCTTCCTTCCTTCCTTCCTTCCTTCCTTCTTTCTTCTTTTTTTTTGTAGGTGTTTATTTCAACTGCTTCCCCCACTCCCACCCTCCTCCTGTCCTGAGGCCCTGCAGAGGGGGTGGCTGATCCCAGTGGGGTGTTAGCATGGAGGCTGGAGCCTGGGTTCCTGCTACACCTTGTGCAGCCCCAAGCATGCCGCTTAACCATCACAGGTTTAAGATAAATCAAGATGAGTGGCTGGAGTGATGGAGAGTTTACTGTGTCAAATAGTGTGCTGTTTTGCAGGGAATACTTGTTCTTCATGATGCCCCAGTGAGGCAGAGACTGATCCTGGAAATAGATGGTGACTTCATTTATGGTTTTTTTTTTTTTTTAATATTTTATATATTTGACAGAGCATAGGCAGGGGGAGTGGTAGGCTAAGGGAGAGGGAGAAACAGGCTCCTTGCTGAGCAGAGAGCTCCCTGGGTTCATGACCTGAACCCAAGGCAGACACTTAACCCACTGAGCCACTCCGGTGCCCCAGATGGTGACTTTAGAAAGTGGTTTGTAGTTGGACACTCAAAGCCAGGCTGTTGCCCCAAGGCAGGTCCCAACCAAGGCTCCTCTGAAGCAACGTGAGAATTGATTATGCTTTGTTCCACACCCCCAGGTAAAAACGCTACAGTCATTAAATCATCAGCCTGCAGAAAAGTTTTACAACTTAGAACGGGAAAAACACCATGGCAGGAGATGATCGATCATTTTGCTTATATGAGGAATTAAAATGTAAGAAATATAAATAAAGCCAGGAATGACATGTAGCATCTAGGCTAGAGTGAACATTTTTAATCTTTGATGATCTGAAAAGGGAAAAGAATCTCCACTGGCAAATGTCATCAGTGATATGGACAGAGAATAGAATATCTGGATTGTTTCTAGACCAACAGTGTCCAGGAGAACATGTGAGCCACGTGCATAATTTAAAATTTTCTAGGAGCCTCAATAGAAAAGATAAAACCAAGTGAAATTTTAATAGTTTGTTGAACCCAACATTTTAACATGTAATACACATTAGAAATATCAGTGAGATTTTATAGTACTTTCACGCCAAGTGTTGGGAATCCTGTGTGTATATTTTACCCTTCCAGCTGTCTTTTCTCAGCTAACTATGGCTCAGGAGCTCAGGAGCCGCAGTGGCTGCCATGTTGGGTACCGGACTGTCCCACTGATCACCGTCACACCCATACTGATCGCCTTATGTTTATGTTTGTCCTTATCTGATTCGAGAAGTTCTAGGTTCTTTTGCACATTTATTTTTCCAGATGACCTTTAGCATGATTTTTTTTTTTTGAAAGGCAATCATGGTGAATGTTTTACCGACATTTGGAAAAAGTAATGCATGTTGGTTTGTTATAAAGCTTTATGTAATATATTAAATTGAGCTTGTAAATTATTGCTATTTAGTTTTTCTTTCTTGCCCTCTCCCATCACCACCACCCTTTTTTTTTTTTTTTTGGTCTGTACTTTCCATTCCCAAGAAAAGTGCATTAAAAGATTTTGGTATTGTCACATTTTTCTGTCCTTCTTAACTAGAAAATTCTTGTGTTTTTCTTTAAAGATTTTATTTATTTACTCATGAGAGACACACAGAGGCAGAGACATAGGCAGAGGGAGAAGCAGGCTCCCTGCAGGGAGCCTGATGCAGGACTCGATCCCAGGACTCCAGGATCACAACCTGAACCAAAGGCAGATGCTCAACCACTGAGGCACCCAGGTGCCCCTTTAACTGGAAACTTCTGAAAGAAGCTCATGGGAGATATTTTCTCATCAATGTCAAATATCTGTGGTATTCTGTTTGGTGCTTTTTGTTTTAAATTTTATTTATTTCTTTGTTATTTAATGAGGTGAGTGGATGGCTTATAAACAGCACACTACTAGAATTTAAAAAATTTTTTCAGTGAAATCTAAGAAGTCAGTAGGTGAATCTGATTTCATTGTGGTCACTGTGGTAATATTTGCCATTTAGTTCATTTTTCTGTTCTTTTCTAATTGTTTTGGGTTTTGTTTTGCTTTTGCTTTTCTCATTTGCTTGATCAGAATTTTTCCCTGTAGTAAATTTAGCATTTATTTTTATTTTATTTTTTTAAAGATTGTATTTGATAGAACAGAGAGCACAAGGGGGGATGGGAACGGGAGAGGGAGAGAGAGAAGGAGAAGCAAACTCTGAGCTGAGCAGGGAGCCCGATGCAGGGCTTGATTCCAGGACCCTGAGATCATGACCTGAGCCGAAGGCAGACGCTTAACCGACTGAGCCACCCAGGTGCCCCTAAATTTAGCATTTAATATCGTGTCTGTGTTATCAGTGGATATCAGTTATTCGCTAGTAACTTTGAATTTATATTGCTCTTAATATGTAGTTAGGCCTCCTTTCCCCTCCAAAGAGAAACTCAGCAGAAAGATTTCTGCCTTTCTTCCTACAAGTGTGCATGCCACACTTGGGTTTTGGTAGGGTTAGTTAGAATCCAGTTCAGAACTCCAAACTTTTTTCACATATGCCTCTATCTCAAGAGTTTTAGAATGGTGTTGTTAAGCTTCAGTCACGTTACCAGGAAACATTTTGGCCCAACTTTGTTTTGCCGGCTTTACTGCTCCTACTATTTTTTACATAGCTGTTCCCGAGGTCTTTATTTGGATTCACTTTTGTCTGGAGTATTATTTTTGACATTTTTTGGTTTTCAGAATACCTTGTACATCTGAACATTTCTGTCTTTTTGTCCTGACAACACCAACAGTTATAAGGCTGAGCATGTCTGCTGGAGTGCAGGTCTCCTGGCCAAAAATTCTATCCTCCCTCCCTGCAGTTAGGATTGTGCAACCTTGTGCGTTTGCACTTAGGCATGGTCAGTGAAAGGGAGATAGAGGCAGTGCATGTCCCAAGGCAGACTCACTTGTCACTCCCAGTGATGGCTGTGTTGCAGGTGGAGCCTAGTCCATGTACCTGGGTCCCTGCATGAAGACGATGTCACAGAACAGAGATGCAGGCAATCCCCCATGGATGTTGGTGTGCAAAGCAACTCTGTCACCAGTCACCCGAGGTTGAGACTGCGTGTTATCTGCAGCCTGTCCTTACCTGTCCTAGCCTGTCCTGATCAATGGTCCCTCCTGCTGGGTCCCCGACCTTTCCTCTGAGGACTCAGAGCTCTGACCATGGGGCTTGGACCATGTTTCTGGCCCTCTCTATCCCCATCCCCCATCCATAAAACGTGGGGGTGAATTAGATCAACACAGAGGTACTTGACAGCTTTGCCTTTAGACTGATTTGTCCCGTAAATAAGAGCCTTCATGAAGATTCATTAATGAGGCTGACTTTGTATTTTTACAAAGCAAATTATCCAGGTGAGATCTTGGCTGTTTGTTGCTAGAAATAGGCCCGGCTGACATCTGGTCAGACAGACGCCATTTGAGAAGCCCTGGAAGGCCCCGGAAGGCAGACACCTCCTACCTCAACCCGAGATGGATTTCTTGCCTTTCTCCAGCTTGCTTGGCTTGGTGACAGGCAGGAGCTCTGTCAGGTTCCACTGATGTCTTTCTCTCCATTGAGTGCCTGCTGTATGCCAAGCGTCCCGCTGGGGCGCTGCCAGGATGAGACAGACACTGGCTATTAGGAAGCATCTCTCCCCGGGGAGGTGGGCTCAGTGACCTCTACACAGATGGTGCTTTCCCGTGGAGGTGCCTTCCCTCACTTCTTTAGGGGCTCCCAGCAACCACTGGTGAGGTGGGAAACAGGCTTCAAATCAGTAGAGCCAGGGCAGGGACCGAGCCTTCCAGACTCCAGGCTCTGCTCTAACCTGCGTGCGAAGCCTCTGCTGCTCCTTGTGGTGGCCAAAGGAGCCGTGTTGCCAGGAAGGATGAGTGAGGCTAGCATTCCTGTGTTTCTGGGAGGGCGCCTTGCAGAGGATGGCACCTTGAAGGAAGAGAAGGCCGAGGAAAGAGGTGAAAGTGGTGGGGGGCAACTGCATAGCGAGGGCCACCATCCTTCCCCCAAGATGGGGCCTGTCCTGTAGCTCTGGCTCGTGGACACTTGGAGAAAGAGATGGTAAGAGGCACATCTTCACAGGAGGCTGCTGCAAATCCATCATGCATGGGAGTCCTATCTTTGTGTTTTTCATTTTTTTGTAAATAGGTGATACACACAATTCATGATTCCAAAGATATCTAAAGATCACCAGTGAGAGGTGTCTCCTTGCTGTGTCCTCCAGGCCTCCACGTTTCCTCTCCAGGGGAGATGATTTAGTTTCTCGTGTTTTCTACAAGACGGCCCATCCCTCACACACAAATGACAGCAGAATGTCAGCCTCCAGCCACAAACCAGATCTGTGTTAGTAACTAGTTTTATTGGTCCACAGCCACGGGCATTGGTTTGCATATTGTCCATTGTGCTACAACCATGAACATGAGGACCTGCCTAGAGACCATATGTTCTGCAAGGTCAAAAATACCTAGTCCTTTTCAGAAAAAGTCTGCCGACCTCCCCACTGTAAACACTCCTGCATATTTCCCCTATTTAATCAAACTTAAATGCGGCCTTAGTATTTCCTGCCTCTTTTCCAACCTTTAGCCTTTGAGAATCACAGTCTTCAGGGTCCCTGAGGTTCCCTGCGGTGGGCAGCTCTGTGTCTTGTAGACCCACTCCTGGTAGAAACCCTGTTCTTGGTAGGGTGACCCAGCACAAACCCTCCGCTCACATAGGGTGGGCACAGAACCTGGGGTCGACCAGGAAGACCCTCTTTGGGTAGCAAAGTGTGGTCTGCAATCCCAGAGTGCCTGCTGGCAGCACCTGGGAGAAGAATCCCAATCCCCATCGGACTGAACCCACATCTTCCTTTTAATGAGACTCCCAGGGGATTTATGTGCTCATGCAAGTTTGAGAAGCTCTGTTCTAGGGCAGTAGTGTCCAACTCTGGCTGCATACTGGAATCGCTTCTAAAACTACCAGTGCCTGGGACCCATTCTCAGAGATGAAGATTGCATTGGTTTGGGCTGCAGCCTGGGCATTGAGATATGTTTGGTAAAATTATTACCTTTGGAGTATGGTACATAAAGTGCACAATTTTTGGGACACCAGGGTGGCTCAGTGGTTGAGTATCTGCCTTTGGCTCAGGTCGTGATCCTGGGGTCCTGGGATCGAGTTCCCACATCAGGGTCCCCGCAGGGAGCCTGCTTCTCCCTCTATGTCTCTGCCTCTCTCTGTGTCTCTCATGAATAAATAAAATCTTTAAAAAAAAAAACAAAGTGCACAATTCTTGAGGGTAGAGCATGATGCACTTAACATAGATACACCTGGGTAAATGTAGTCAGATGAAGATGGACATTTTGAGGACTCCAGGAGTTCCTCTCATACCCTTTGCCCTTTCCTGGCCATCATCCTCTCCCCAAATGACCATTATTCTTTTACTATGGTAAGATTAGCTTTGCCTATTCTGGAACTTTGGATGAATAGAATCACCCAGCAAGTACTTTTGCATCATGCTGCTTCCACTCGCTGTGAGTTCTGAGAAGATATGTGTCTTCTGCAGCATGTAATGAATAAAGCTGCTATGACTCATTCTTGGGGTTTTGGTGGATGTATATATTCATTTGTCCTGGGCCTGTACCCGGGAGGAGGATTGCTGGGCCATAAGGTGGGAATATGTTTAACTTCCATAGTTATTTGCACATTGGGGTTTTTAAAAACTCACCAGGAGGGGCCCTGGCTGGCTCAGTCTGTAGAGTGTGTGACTCTTGATACCAGGGTCATAAGTTTGAGCCTCATGATGGGTGTAGAGATTACTTAAATAATTTTTTAAAAAACTAAAATCTTTGGGCCTCCTGGGTGGCTCAGTGGTTGAGTGTCTGCCTTCGGCTCAGGTTGTGATCCCAGGGTCCTGACATGGATTCCTGCATCAAGCTTCCCGCGGGGAGCCTGCTTCTCCCTCTGCCTGTGTTTCTGCCTCTGTGTCTTTCATGAATAAATAATTAAAAAAAAAAAAAGTAAAATCCTAAAAAGAAAAAGCTCACCAGATGACTCTGATGTGCTTCTGGGACTGAGAATCCTGCTCCTGAAAGACAGCGCCGCACTCTGTCCTTCTGGGTGGTGTCCTGTTGCTTTGCCCAGTGGCCTTCCAGGTAATCCCCAATCCATTTCTGTTGCTTGCCACTATGAATCCTCTCTAACCAGATGGGTGGTTCCAGGCCAATCCCACCCCCGAATCCACTTTGTCCTGTTGATTGGATTCAGTCAAATCAGCTCAGGAGCTGAGCTCAGGCTTTCCACTAGGCTTTTCCTTCTGCATCCTCTGGGCCCTCTGGACATGTGGCCATGGTGGTGGCAGTGGACGATCCTAGCATTGTCTCTATCTTGAGATCACTAAGAGGGCTGGCATGAAATGACTGGCATGAAGCATGAAAAGCACT